AAACAATTCCATCTTTATTTATTTTTAAGATATGATTTTTTTGATTAAAAAAATTGACGTTTTTTTTTGAGGCAGAAAACTTTACTTTAGCAAGGTAAATATAAATGACGTTTAAAAGGCGCAAATACATGCGCGATAGCGCTAATACAGGCGCGATAGCGCAAATGTACGCGCGCGAGCCCTAATAAACAAAAAATGATGTTTGTTCTTTAAAATTAAACCTTCAAACAAAAAAATGGTTGGAGTGTCATCAGTAAATGATTTTTTTTTGTATTTTAAATAATTATAATAATAACGTTTTTTTTGGGTCTTCAAAAATTACCACTATAATATTAAAAATAACAGAATAGAGGCGCGCAGCGCCGATTTCCATATTATAATAATTTTTTTATTTTGACCGTAATTGTTTTAAGGCAATTTCTTTTTATAAATTTGTTTTTTTAACTAAAAAATTGACACTTCTTTTTGAAAATTCCAATTTGAGGCAAAAAACTTTAGCAAGGTAAATGTATATATCATTAAAAATACGGAAATACATGCGCGACAGCGCAAATATACGCGCGATAGCGCATATATACGCGTGATAGCGCAAATGTACGCGCGCCACCTCGAATACAAATAATATTGTCTGTTTTTTGGTAATTTAAATGTATACTATAAACAGAAGGTATTTTTTATTAAATAATTTTGTGAAAACAAAACAAATCATTCTTTATTTGTTTTTGGGATATTTTTAAGAATTTTTATTTGAAGCAAATAACTTTTCTTTAGCAAGATAAATTTATATAACATCTAAAAGGGCAAACCATGCGCGACATCGCAAATATACGCGCGCGAGCCCGAATACAAATTTTATTGTCCTTTTTTTTTCTAATTTAAATTGATATGACTAAAACATAAGGCATTTTTAGGACAATTTATTTTTTAGAAACAAAGCAAGTTCATCTTTTTTGTTTTTGGGATATAGATTTTTTTATTTACAAAATTGATGCTTTTTTGAGATTTTTTATTTAAGGCAGATAACTTTACTTTAGCAAGATAAATGTTTATGACATTTAAAAGGTGCAAGTATATGCGCGATAGCGCAAATGTACGCGCGCGAGCCCGAATACGCAGACTATTGTTTGTTCTTTTGTAATTTAAATTAAGGATATATTTACAAGGATTCATTAGGTGAAAACACCCAAGTCCAGCAGAATTAATTTTAACGATATGATTAATGTATATGACATTTAAAAGGCGCAAATACATGCGCGATAGCGCAAATACACGCGCGATAGCGCAAATGTACGCGCGCGAGCCCGAATACGCAGACTATTGTTTGTTTTTTTGTAATTTTAAAAAAACGATATATTTATGAGGATTCCTGTGGTGAAAACACCCAAGTCCAGCGTAATTAATTTTTACGATATGATTGTTGTACTATAATAAACAGTCACTATCGGCGGACAAACCTATACTGGACTCCACGACTCTATTGTCAGTTTACTGGCAACCCCCGGCGCTAGTTATTTAACCGTTTGTGCTACTTGGGATTAATTTTAAGAGGTCTATCATCGCTATTTTTGATTTTTAGTCATAATTTGAAATTTTAAGTTTTTCTTCGATTTTAATCGTGAATAACTTTTGAAGAATTAAATTTAGGCAAAAATGTTAAGAGACCTTTTTTGTAGAACATTAAATTTCCTTTAAGAATCCGACGTGAGCTTTTTTAAATATTCATTGATTCATTAGTTACAAAATTTCAAAGTAAAAAGGGCAAATCGAAAAAACACATCGATTTATTGAGCTCAATTACTCGGAAACGAACTCGTCTGACGAAAATTTTCAGACCTTTTTTGTAGAGAATTTAATTTTATATCAAAATAAGTGAAAAGGAATTTTTTGCACTTCAATGTTTTGACAGTTCTAACGTAAAACATCAAATTATGACTAAAAATCAAAAATAGCGACCTCTTAAAATTAAAATTAAGGGCTCAAATTTTCACGAATTTTATTTTTGTTCTTCTGAATGACATTCTCGATATTGTTAATATAGTTAATAGTCAATTTTTTTGGCCCAGTCTAGTGTATATAAAAAATCGATTTTTAGATAGCTTTTTATTGCAATAACCAATGGGCCTTTCCATCTTAAATGGCCAAAAATGTTTCGATCGTTACAATTTTTTTTTAAATTGTAGGTTAATGTTTACCACATACAAAAATATATAAATAATTAAATGAATATAGGTACTTAATTTTTTTGTATTGTTTTTTCTAAAAAGAGCAAAAAAAATGAAGTCAAAATTTTGACATTGTCACATTTTTTTTTACTTCAAATTTTTTGTTTTTTTGAAGTTGATATATTGAACAACTTTCACCAAAAAATTATTAAAAAAATGCCATTTTCTAGTAAATTCGTGGTTTATCTAAAAAAATTGTATTTTATCTAGGGTCATGAAACTGGGGTGACCTTTATAAAGTGTAATTTAGAACTTTGACATATTTAACATATTTTTGTCACTTCCGGTTTCACCGGAAATGGTCTTAAATTTTTATTTTTTAATGAAACACCTTATGCATTTTTACATATTTCGATTTAAAATAAAATTCTGGATACAAGCATATGTCATTTGTCAATTTTTCACTGGTCAAATAATTTTTTGATAAAATTTTATTTCTATAACTGGCCAAGCCAAGCGCCAAAAACTTTTTCTGGGGTAAACAAAATTATTTGCATTTTTAATGCTGAAACACGTATTTTTTATACTAACCCTTAACCAAGAAGTCTCAGGTGGAAACCCTAAAGCGTGGGGATATTTTGAATTAAATTGAAATGAACTAGCTGAAAACAGTTCTTTGTTGCAAAGAGAGTTATCACGGGATGTTTTATCACTCGATGTATTTTTACAATTTATATGAAATTGGCTTGGGCCTGGACTGCTCTACCATCTAGTCCAGGCCTGCATTGATTCTGCCAGCACGCCCTTGGCTAAAACATTTATAAAATAAAATACAAATAAAAATTGAGGTGGTTAGAATCAAATGGTGTAAGTAATTGCTCAACATTACTTGGTTTTAAAACTACTAAATAAAATCATTCAAATATTTTGAAACGATTATAAAAAGTTATATCTAACCTCCCCATAGTGTGACCATTGTAGGGAATCTCTGGCAATAAATAAAGAAACGAAATATGAAATCAAATAAAAATTTGTTATTTTACACGTAATTAAGTAACCAGCGCATTAGTTTTTAGACCTCTTAGGCTTAATACTTATCTCCCTTCCTGATAGAGCCCTAAATCTTTTAAAAGTAAACATTAACCTAAAATTTAAAAAAAAAACTGAACGAAACATAACGATTTGAGATGGAAAGAGCCCAATGCAAACTTTTTTCACACAAAGCTCATTAAAAAATACATCTTCTAGCGGTATTGATGGTATATCAATAATTATTCTAAAACAAATACAAGATAAAATAGCTCAACCAATTGCATACATTACAAATCTTTCAGTCAACTCTGGTTTGTATCCTGATTGCCTAAAGATTGCTTCAGTTGTTACTATATATAAAAAAGGCTGCCAGGATAGCAAAGAGAATTACAGGCCGATTTCAGTATTCTGTGCATTATCAAAAATTATCGAAAAAATATGGTAGATTTCAGTACTCTGTGCATTATCAAAAATTATCGAAAAAATATGGTAGATTTTCTAAATAAGTATAACCTAATAACTGATTCACAACACGGTTTCAGAAAAAACTTTTCAACTTAAACAGCAGCCATTCAGCTTATGCAGTTTGTTTTTGATGAACTTTAGTACTTGTATATTTTATGACCTTAGTAAGGCTTTTGACACAATAAATGCAAGCTTCCTTATAGAAAAATTATCTAAAATTGGATTTAGAGGTAAAATTTTGGAATGGTTGCGATCATATGTTTCAAATAGGCAGTTTAAAGTAAAAGTTAACAATTCCTTATCTGAAAACTTTAAAAATGATCTAGGTGTTCCTCAGGGTTCGGTTCTAGGTCCTCTTTTGTTTTCAATTTATATAAATGACTTACCTAAATTTATTATGGGTAAACTTACAATGTATGCCGATGATACATCGGTTGTGGTATCAGCACCGAATCCTGAGAAACTTAAACAATATGTTGATGAGGTTAACAACAGTTTTAAAAAATGGTGCACCCGAAATCGTCTTATTTTAAATTCTAAAAAAACTGAATATGTATACTTCTTTCTCCGTTTAAGTGGATTGAGTAACCTTAATAACCTTAATTTAAACATATCGAAAAAGGTGAAATTTTTGGGGCTAATAGTGGATGCTCAGATAAACTGGGATAACCATATATATAACCTTTGCCAAAAACTAAGCGCTTCAAACTTTGCCTTAATGACACTAAACAACAGTCTATCTTATACATCACTCTTAAATGCCTATTATGGACTTTTTTACTCGCACATATCTTACAATATAATTTTTTGGGGAAAAGGAACATCAGCAAATAAAGTATTTATTATGCAAAAGCGCGCAATCCGAATAATGTTTAACCTACCTGGTAGGGCTTCCTGTAGAGATACTTTTATAAATAAAAAATTACTAACGTTGTATGGAATTTATATATATAGTATTATGAAGTTTGTTTTTAATAACTTAGGAAAATTTCCAACTAATAGTAATTTTCACTCATATTCCACAAGAAGTGGCTCAAGACTATGTGTACCGAGACACACAACTTCTTTGTTTAAAAAGTCACCCTATTTTTCTGGCATCAAAATTTTTAACAATTTGCCCAATTATATTAAGGAAACAAAAAATTATAATGTTTTTAAAAGAAAACTGAAAGACTTTTTAATTGAGGAATGTCCTTATAAACTGAATAAGTTTTTAGAATAAATTTTGTAGGTATCTCCGAGTATATTTAATTGTAGTTCGTGTATTGTATTTCTGTGACTTGTCCTATACATATGAATGTTATCTATGTCAATTGGATTAATAAAATTATTATTATTAATTTCCAGGTAAAATCCCGTGGAAAAAGCCCCTTCGAAAACGTGACAGTCCTGTTCGAAATCAACCTTCCGATAATGACCGCCGAAACTTCGGCGTATTACCTGTGCGTCAAGCACAACAAAACGGGCTCCTTCATCCACATGGGCAACGAACCGTGGCTCAAGATGACGTCTTACGAAAAAATGGTGCCCACATGGGCCGCCATCGTGATCATTTGCCTGTGCCTGTCGTTTTCCTCGCTGTTTTCGGGCTTGAATTTGGGTCTCATGTCCCTGGACAAGACCGAGCTGAAGATTCTTTGCAACACAGGTGAGTGGCCGAAAACATGAAACACCAAAACCGATTTCAGATAATAACTTCTAAAACTTTTACGAAAAAAAGTTATACTTCGTAAAAACTGACATTCCCATAAAAAATTGTGAAATTTTATTGAAAAATTCTATAAAAGAAAGTCGATGACAACTCAAATTAAAGTATTCAAGAAACACCCGCTTTCAGGTAAATGAAGATCAAATTTTGATTGGATTTTTATAAATGTTTAGAACTTTGTTTACTTACATTTAAGACAGGCAGTGCACTTTTTAATTTTTTTTTACATTTTTTTCAGAAAAATGTGTTTAGCTAGCTTTATATATCTCCACTGTGTTACCAAATCGAAATCCAAAATTTAATTCAATAAAAAAGTTATAAAAATAATTTGAAATAAAATGTACTTAGTTCACAAACTTTTAACTTAAATTTTTTATTTTATTTTTTATTAAAAATTGTACGCTTTTTAAATATGTATGTTCGTTAAGTTACTATTTAAAAGAAACCATTCCGATTCTTTGTTAAAAAAACAATACCATTAATATTTTCTTTTAGTCACTATAGTAAGTTAAACTCTAATTTATAAACACGTATTACCAAGTGATGGTGTATAAAAATCATTTTAAGTATTTTTTTTAACAAAAAAAAGTAACGAAATAGACATTGGTATCACAACGGACTGGGGTACACAGGACTTAATCAGATAACGTAAAAAAGAAACTATAAAGGGTGGTAAGATTTTAGAGTAATGCATAAACAAAATCCCTTGTAGTGGTGCTCACTTGCAGAATAACAACTTAGATTTCTAAATTGTAGAGACCCTTTTTCTTTGACTATAAGCTGGTGAAGGTCCCTTTTAGTATATTGCGTGGAATTTTCCCTTGGATGTAATCTACATCATAAGTCAAATAATTTTAAATTGGTTTATCATAAACTACTTTTAATAAAAGCGACGGTAAATATCCACTTTGTTGAAAAATTCTATTGCGTTACCCTAAATTCCATTGCGTTACCATAAGGTAACATAATGGACTCGGTAACGCAGTGGAAAAAGTTTTGTGAAACTAAAAAATATTAATAAAACATTACAGTCATTAATTACTCTCAATGAGCTACATAAACATGAAAAATAGTATTTTTCTTACCTTATTTTTATTATTTTTTTGAGTAACTTGGCGGACAAACAATTATTACATTCGCGTTACCCGCACCTGTTTCAACCGATATCTTCTTCCTGATTGAATAAATAAATTCAGCTGGGTAATGTGTACGTCCGAACATCATTTGTTGATCACGTGAGTGCCAAAAAAGTTGCCATATATATGTTTTTTTTAATATTCTATCGGTAACGCGACGGACGTAACGCAACGGAAAAAATGTCTGGGACATGAGTCAAATTTAAAAAAAGTAGATTAAAATTAATTATTTTATATATAAATTGTTTACTGTATTAACTAAGGATGTTATGGATTGCTGGTTATTCAATATTTAAAAAAAACATGTATGTAAGTTTTATAAAACGCTAAGGGGACATGCGAAAATGTGTGTTTCACAAGTTTCAAAATTAAAAAAAAATTATTCTGAAATAACTAAACACACATTTTCTGAAAGAGTTTACTAAGGGCTTGTTAGGCTTTCACTTGGTTTTTAAATCAATAAGATCCGATAATTTTTAACAAAGTTATTGGAATTCAAACTTACGGACAGCGGAAGGCGGGTGTTTTTTGAAAACGACCCATAAATACGAAATAACTGAAACAAGGCATGCTAAGATCTTTTTTCGATTCGATTGCACATGGCGTTATCTTTTCCATTCCAGGCACGTTGAAAGAACGGAAATACGCCAAGGCCATCCAGCCCGTGCGAAACCACGGTAATTACCTGCTGTGCTCCATCCTGCTCGGTAACGTGTTCGTAAACTCCATCTTTACCATCCTGCTGGACGACCTCACGTCCGGCCTCATCGCCGTCATATTTTCCACGCTCGCCATCGTCATGTTCGGCGAGATCACGCCGCAAGCCGTCTGTTCCAGGTGAGTTACTCTTGACAAGCAACTGATCTTTGAAAAAGGACAACTTTGGTGATGTGTTAAACAAATACAGGGTGTTATGTAATTAATGTTATATATTAAAATGGGTTGTTCCTTAGGGTCCATAAAGAAGCACCTGAAACTTTTTTTTCTAAATTCCAAAGTCTAAAAATAATTTATAATAACCTTTATCCTACCAATAAGTACGCCACTGATCGACTAGGAACTTTAGGTTAATCTGGTGGATTTATTATGTTATGGTTGGTAACAACAGTGTTTCCAAAATCTCTCAAAAAAGTTGACAAACATTGTTTAAATTTAGCTTAATTACAAAAATGACAAAATTAACAATGCAAATTGTCAATTTGGCGTTTTTATTAATTGTTGGTTATTTCATTTTTGTACTGAAGGTAAATTCAAACAAAATCTGCCAACTTTTATGACAGAATCTAGTGCATTTCTTTTAAATTTTAGGTTATGTTTTCAAATTGTAAATATCTTAACTAAGGGAAGTGCTTTTAGATTTATTTACACAAATTAAATGTTTAAAGTTTAACCTGTGAACTGGTCCCAATTTCATCTGAGTAACCAGAGAAAAAAACTGATGAAAAAATTAATTTTGTGGTTATGGATTTCAAATTTCAAAGGTACTAAATTTTCTAATCATTGCTTAAGGTAATAGCTGGATCAGTAAATAAATACAGAAGGGTATTAGAGCTTTAAGGGCATAAAACTTTTGTATTTATTGAGTTTTTATTTATTTTTTGCAAGAAAAATTTTTAGTAACAATTTTTTACATCTGGCAACGCATAACTGCTTTGTTGGTTGGTATCTATGTACTCACAAAATACAGGTGTGCAGAGATAAACAAGTTTGTAACCAGTGGCGTATCACAAAAAATATAAAAAACTTCTAATGCATATTTTTTCTTTATCTTTGGAAAAATGTTTTTTTAAATATTTTTCCTTTATTCCTTATGTCAAAAGGTATTCAGTATTTTAATATATAACATTAATTACATAACACCCTGTACATATATGTACATATATCGAGGTGAACCAAAAACAAAACCTTTAAGAATAGACGTGACTTGATAATTAAAACTTAATTTAGAACAATATACGGTTTTGCCACTCTACAGAGTGTCTTAATCTTGGTAAAAAACTACTTTTTGTTTAAACCTGTATATTAAAAGTACGTCTATTTTTTAGTAAATGTTTAAAATGTGAGCGATTCTCCATTAATTTATCTACAATATTCTTTAATATTCGTTTAAATCCGAAATCAAATAAAAAAGTTATTTGCGATTAAAATTCATCGAAAATTTGTGTGGATCGATTATTTTGCCTGTGAGTGTATGTCAATATTTACGTTGGTTAACTTACTATTACAAAATTTAAACAATTCTATTGAAACACTTACTTTCTTTCTTTAAATTTAGGCACGGTCTGGCTATTGGTGCCAAAACTATTTGGATTACAAAAGTGGTTATGGTTATCACTTTTCCATTGAGTTTTCCGATTTCCAAGATGTTGAACTGGGTACTGGGTGAGGAAATCGGCAATGTTTATACTAGGGAAAGGTTAAAGGAGTTAGTTAAGGTAAGTGCACTGTAAGAAATAATTAACACAAGTCTACACGCCCCAACACCAAACTGTGTTATTCCAAGTCCACACGACATCGTGTAAAATTTTAACACAGCATCAGTGTGTTGATTTGTTTTTTAAATCGTGTAATAATTTACACGAAGAATAATTAAACTTTGGTAGATAAATAAAAATTACGTTTAAAAAATACTTTTATTAAAGATCATTTTAATGGTTTAAAACTTATTTACCTAAAAAAGATAAAATGTCATATTTTACTGGCAAATTTGTTATTACCCACTATGTTTCCTGAAGTCAAAGTTTAAATTTCATATTACATATAAAGGGGTAAGAAGCAAAAGGGCAAATTTTACACGATATTTGTTAAAATTTACACAACTTTGTGTAACATAACACGATATTTATTAAATACGAGTTTATAACACATTAACGTGTAAATTAACAAGTGGTTACACATTTTAGTGTTGATTTCCAATTTAGGAACATTCGTGTAAAATTATTTACACGATGTTTACACAAAATTTACACAAAAATTTTAACACAAAAAAAAGAGAATTTACACACTGATATTTTTTGCAGTGTGATACTTTTTTGCTAGTTTTTGTAGTCGACTATCTCTTTAAATATAAGTGCTACGTTAAAAATAATTATTGTTATAAAAAAAATGTCCAAGAACAAATTTACACCAACATTTGTTTGACACTTTTTATTATATCATTAATATTTAAAAAGTTATAAACAAAAGATATGACAACATTTGTGGCTCTTGAAATTGCACAATTTTGTTAAAAAAATTGTTAAAGTTCCAATCTATTTTTTGTTTCAAGATTTTATTTTACTCCCATTCATAATATTCTCTATGACGTTACGTCTGGACACATTTTAACGGTTTATTTTTAGAAAAAGAAAAAATAGTTTTATGTTTTAATTTATGAGTTTTATTTTCTATTGAGCGCAAGTATTAAAAAAATCTTTTTTTTGTACAAGGTGTCTAGCGGCCAGGAAAAGTCATGCAATTTTGATTTTTTTCTATCAAATATTTGTTATTAGTTATTTATGTATTAAGGGCATAATAAGGTTTTTATGGTCAGAGGCGCTATTTCGAGCCCGAGCGCGTTAGCGCGAGGGCTAGAAAAGCGTCGTAGGACCATAAAAACTAGTTATGCCAGCAATGCATACAAAACTTTATGCACGATTAATATATTATTATTTTTAATATATTATTGTTTTTTAAAACGTTTACGTCAAAGAATTTTTGTTATAATTGTCATATTATAATGTCAACTGACATCAGTCAGTTTTAAAGTTTAAAAATGAATGAAATTGAGGAAGCAGCTGAAAAGGCGAAAAATTGCGGCCTGCTGCCGGAAACATCAAAATCTTTATACGAAAAAACTTACTTTGAATATATCAAATGGTGTAAAATTGTTGTTTTCAATTTTTGACGTTTCATTATAGCCCGCTGGGTCATAATAACGCCCGCGGGCTATAAAAAGACGTTTACGTCAAAGAATTTTTGTTATAATTGTCATATTATAATGTCATCGTGCATAAATTATATTATATCATCAAGCAATTATACAGGGTGTCCCAGAAATCTTGTCACAGAGGTAGCTTAGCTAGTTTGCTTTAGTATTTTTAGTATTTCAAAAAGACCTAAATTAAATACTCTGACACTGTCAAATTGTCAGTAATAAGTATATATTATTGATAATTTACTTGTTAATTATTATATAATATCGATATAAAAAGATAACTATGCCAAAAATATTATCAGATTCTAAAGTAAAAGAACTTTTAAGGGCAAAACCTCATTTCGATGAAGTTATGCCTCCATGGCAGAAAAAGTACATCGCCTTATGGACATTTTTGGAGTAAAAAAGTAACGTTTTTGGTTTTCCAAATATTAAATTACACATTATTTTCAGCTAAGCAGATCAAATTTTTTTTAAATTTTAAAAAATAAGTTGGAAATAAAGAAACAAAAAATAAAAATTATTTGCTGTTACGTTCAACCTTTTTGTGAAAAATCTAGTAGTTAATTTTTTTGTCTTTGAAAATAGCATCTATTTGGTTTGAAAAAGATAAGCAATAATCACGAAACTTTTTTTTCTTTCAATTTGCATGTACCTACTGATCATTAATAGTCCTGGACAATATATACAGGGTGTTATGTAATTAATGTTATATATTAAAATGGGTTGATCCTTAGGGTCCATAAAGAAGCACCTGAAACTTTTTTTTTCTAAATTCCAAAGTCTAAAAATAATTTATAATAACCTTTATCCTACCAAAAAGTACGCCACTGATCGACTAGGAACTTTAGGTTAATCTGGTGGATTTATTATGTTGTGGTTGGTAACCACAGTTTTTCCAAAATCTCTCAAAAAAGTTGACAAGCATTGTTTAAATTTAGCTTAATTACAAAAATGACAAAATTAACAATGCAAATTGTCAATTTGGCGTTTTTATTAATTGTTGGTTATTTCATTTTTGTACTGAAGGTAAATTCAAACAAAATCTGCCAACTTTTATGACAGAATCTAGTGCATTTCTTTTAAATTTTAGGTTATGTTTTCAAATTGTAAATATCTTAACTAAGGGAAGTGCTTTTGGATTTATTTACACAAATTAAATGTTTAAAGTTTAACCTGTGAACTGGTCCCAATTTCATCTGAGTAAACAGAAAAAAAAACTGATGAAAAAATTAATTTTGTGGTTATGGATTTCAAATTTCAAAGGTACCTACTAAATTTCTAATCATTGCTTAAGCTAATAGCTGGATCAGTAAATAAATACAGAAGGTTATTAGAGCTTTAAGGGCATAAAACTTTTGTATTTATTTAGTTTTTATTTATTTTTTGCAAGAAAAATTTTTAGTAACAATTTTTTACATCTGGCAACGCATAGCTACTTTGTTGGTTGGTATATATGTACTCACAAAATACAGGTGTGCAGAGATAAACAAGTTTTTTTGCATTCACAAAAAATATAAAAACTTCTAATCCATATTTTTTCTTTATCTTTGGAAAAATGTTTTTTTAAATATTTTTCCTTTATTCCTTATGTCAAAAGGTATTCAGTATTTTAATATATAACATTAATTACATAACACCCTGTACATTATAATTATTACTAAGCCACTACAAGTATTAACGTCCAGTGGCTTTAACAAAATACTTATTCACCATTGGAGTCAAATGATTGAACAACATTCACGTGTGTTTACATAAAATTTTAATTTCTTTTATATAAATTCTTTTCAAAGCGAAGATTATTATCCGCTAGGAATACTTCGTCTCTCCTGAGCCGGAGTCACCTATATTTAACTACTTTTTTATATGATTTTACTCAAAAATGTTAAACTTATTTTTTTAAATGTCAAACTTAAGAATGTGACGAATAAAAAAATGTAAAAAATAATTTTAAACGTTTTAGAATTTTAAACCCAATTAACAAATTACAAATAAAAAAACATTTCGACTGTCATTTAACACATTAAATTAAAATTATGTAATCCACATTTTAAAATAAACCAAACATCAGCCTTCCTATTTGCAGTGGAATTTGCATATCCAAAGGTGTTAAACGAACACAACGTACGAAACAATTTCATTAACAAATCAAAATACCTAACAGTTAGCACATCTGATTCATATAGGCATGACAATATTTGTAGAGGTTGCGCGATAAGCATACAAATTCTCTATAGAAATTAAATATGCGAGTATATTTTGAAATTAAACGAAATGCCACGTATTCGTTTTATATCTAATAAATTATTATTATTATTGAAAAAAACATGTTTTTTTTCAAGCGGCCATGATATACAACCTTATATGCATGTATAGAGATAGTTGAAGTGCATCTTTTTCATTATCGGCAGACAAAAAACTCTAAAAAGCCTAGGGATAGAAGTAAATCCATAGGTAACTCAGTAGACTTCAAATAATAAAATTAATTTAGCATTTCATACAAAGCAATCACGATGTATTAATTATATTAGTTATAATCGCACGGAATTTTTAGTGATTATTTATTAAATTTTAAATGAACGAAATAAAGAACAACTAGCTTATTAGTATAATATTATGATGATAGACGAGTCGCCAATGTCGGAACTTCAAACAAATTTCAGTACGTCAAAATTAATTCAAGCGCACCATTTTGACAGAGCAGTGTTTATATTTAGTTTAGGATATTTATCGGCATTGTAAGTAAGGGTTATTTAGTTTTTTTAGTTTTTATCAATAATTTCTAATGCTTTTAGCTTAAGTTTTATCCCACATGAGTTATGAGTAAATAAAATAATTTTGATGCTTATTCTATTTATATTACGCCCTTGAAAAAAAAATTGTATATGTTATTTGGAGTAGAAGCTCTTTTTGTGCTTCTACTCCTTATGACATATTCTACTATATTGTCATGTTATTTTTTTATTACATATACAGGGTGGTTGGTTCTCACTTATGGAATAAAATTTGTTATTCGATGAAAAAGATTTGTATGTGATTGTACAGTTCATTTTTTTTATCTGGACTCGTGCTTTTTTGTTAGGTGGCTTATGCCAGTTTGACTTAGTATTTTTAGTATTTAAAAATGGTACTTCTGCTAAAGAATTTAATTAAATATTTTGACACTGTCAAATTGACAATAATATTTATTATTGATAATTTACTTGTCAATTATAAATAAAAATATAATTATGCCAAAAATAATAGCAACGAATTCGAATGTAAAGGCCCTTTTGAGGGTAAAACTTCATTTTGATGAAATTATGCCAAATGCCACAATGGAAGAAAAAGTACATCGCCTTATGGACATTTTTGGAGTAAAAAAGTAACGAATTTGGTTTTATAAATATTACATCACACATTATTTTCACATTATTCACCATTGGACAACATTTACGTTCACAAAAAATTTTAATTTCTTTTATATAAATTCGTTTCAAAGCGAAGATTATTATCCGCTAGAAATACTTTCTCTTCTGG